CTCCAGGGCATCCCCGAGACCCCCGGGGGGGCAGGAGGGAGGGAGGAGGAGGAGGAGGATGAAGGAGGAGGAGAAGGAGGAGGGGCTAGAGGTGATGCAGAGGATGGAGGAGGAGGAGGAAAAGGATGATGATGAGGAGGAGGAGAAGGAGAAGAGGAGGAGGATGAAGGAGGAGGAAGAGAAGGGGCTGAATGACCTCCTGGATGATGGTGATGACCACGTGTGAAGCTCCCTGAGATGCTGAGGAGCATCTAATGAAGCTCATGGGACCTCCTGGAGGTCTTGAGGACCTTCTACCCCCACCCCAAACCCACGGGGATGCGATTGTCCTCCTTACTGCCAGGTCCCACCACTGGAGCCTCCTGAGATACATCTCTGCATCTCCTGGTCCAACTTTGCTGCTGGTTGTGCCCACCAAACCCTGTAGGTGATGTGCTATGGACCCACCATGACCATAGAGTTGACCCTCAAGAAGATCCAACCACCTCCAAACCACCACCCAACTCCAACTAAACCTTGATCCCACCCGCCATGGACCATCTCGGGGTTGGGTCAAGGGGTCAGGACTTGATAGGGTGAGGTCAGAGGACTTGGAGGTGTCAGAGAAGACTCTTGGGTTGGGCTGACCCAATCTGACCTCAGCACAATCCTGGAGGAACTTCTGGAGTTCGAGGTGATCCTGGAGACGTCGTGTCCATTCTTGAGCCAACTGGTGGTTCTCTTGGCTCCTGTGGGTGGAACCGACTCAGGACCTTCTTCGGGACCTTCATTAAGCCTTAATGAACCTCTAATTAACCTCCCACCAAACCCCAAAGGAGATGAATCCAAAAGGGAAACGGAGGCAGGAGATCCTGGTGGGATTGGGAGGTCCTGGATGGCGATGGAAGGTCCTGGGGTTGAGGTCTAGGAGGTGTTTCCAACCCTGGTGACCTACTTGACCCTGAGCTCCTCCATGGCCTCGGCCACTCGGTCGCTGTGGAGGTTCCTCTGGCGTTGGAGACTCTCCCCAGCCTGGAGCACCATCTGGATCTTCTGCAGGTTGAGCTCCATGGTGGTGGTGAAGTCCTTGTGCTTCTTCAAGGCCTTGGTGACTCCTTCCACCGTGTCTGGAAGCTCAGCCTGAGCCAGGGTGGTCTCCTGGTGGGGCAAGGACAGGTCTTCTCCTCACTCTGCTCACTCCAACCTCACCAGGAGCTTCACCAAGGGCTTTTTCCACCCATGTCCATCAACCAAGATCTTCTCCCACCCATTGCTATCGAACAGGACCTTCTCCCACCCATCTCCACCACCCAAGGCCTTCTCCCACCCATCTCCACCACCCAAGACCTTCTCCCACCCATTTCCACCACCCAAGACCTTCTCCCACCCATTTCCACCACCCAAGACCTTCTCCCACCCATTTCCACCACCCAAGACCTTCTCCCACCCATTTCCACCACCCAAGACCTTCTCCCACCCATTTCCACCACCCAAGACCTTCTCCCACCCATTTCCACCACCCAAGACCTTCTCCCACCCATTTCCACCACCCAAGACCTTCTCCCACCCATTTCCACCACCCAAGACCTTCTCCCACCCATCTCCACCACCACCACCTCTTCCCACCTGGTTGTAGAGACAACTCTGGCACTGTTGGACATCCCTTAGGAAGAGGTGGAAGACATGAGACTGAACTAGGACCTCTCTCCTCATCTCCCAGCTTTGAAGGAGCTTCCCCCAACCTGCATCCAACTTCTGCAGCCACTGTTGGAGGGACAAGTAGGGCATGTCCATGTCCTCCAGGGCCAGGAGCTCACTGGCCGCTTGGATCTTGGCATAGTCCTCTTCATAACCATTGATCTCCTCCTTGAGGGCCACGTGAAGGTTCAGCATCTTCTCAGCTTCTCCTAAACTCTCCGGAACCTCTTCAGATCCAACAGCTACTTGAGTCTTCACCAACCAACTCAAGAAGTTGTCCAAGTCTTGGATAAACTGTTGGAGTCTTCCGGCGATGGTTAAAGTGTCTTCACAACCTTGAAGAGTTCTCTTGAGGTTCTCCCATTCTTCACTGATCTCTTGGAAGGGTAGAAGAATCTCCAAAGCTCTTCCAGGATGAGCAGAAGCTAAAGCGTCACCTTCTTGCTGAAGTTCCACCAAACGAGGTTCTAGGACCACCAGAGCTGCTTCCATGGTGGAAAGACGACGTTGGAGAGCCAAGATACCTCCCAGGTCACTCCCACCTGCTTGGGTTGCCTCGATGGCTTTTCGCTTCTCTCGCACCTGAGACTTCATCTCGCTACACTCCAGGAGGAAGTTCTGGATCTTCAAGATGGAGTTCAGTTGGGTCTTCTTGGTCTCTACCAGTTCCACCACTCGGTTCCAGCTGGAGGAGGAGAAGAAGAAGATGGAGAGGTTCAGGCTTGAGGAACATCAGCTGGAGGTTCACCAGGGTCATCAGTAACTCTTGGGGTGGGACGAGAACCTTGGCATGGAGAGGTGGAAGCCATAGGGGTGTCCTACCATGGGTTGGAGGTCTCCAAGCACCCCCAGACCCAATCCGGGAGTCCCCCAAGAAGGTTGAGGTCCATCTTGGGACCTCCAGGAGAAGCTTGGACTCCATGGGGAGACCTGGAGCCCACGGGGATGTCCCACCATGGTGAAGACACCTTGCCAAGCCTTACCGACTGTTGAGATGGTCCTGGCAGGACTGAACCTCCTGAGAACTCGGGTGACCTCCTTCCACCAACTGCTGAACAACCTGGTTGACGTCTAAGATCCTTCCCATGACACTGTTCATCTCCTGGTCCAAGCTCTCAAACCTGAGGAGGTACAAGGAGGTCCATGAGGGACACTGATGACCACAAGGAGGTCCATGATGACCCCAAGGAGGTCCATGATGGTCGTGGATGGACACAAGGAGGTCCACCAAGCCACGAGCGTCCCACCCACCCCGTGTCCACCTTCACCCACCTGTGCTGCACCACCTCAACCTCATCCAGCTCCTCCGGCAAGATCATCTTCTCCAACCACTGCTCCTTCTCCTCCAGCCACACCTCGCACGCGTGGACCTCGCTGAACATCCTGTAGACATCTAAAGCATCCTGAAGCCACTGAGACCTCATCACAGCTACTTCCACCACTTCTCCAAAGAGCTGCTCCACCTCCACCACCCGAAGTTGGACATCAACTCCTTGGGGATGAACCGGAGCTAGAAGAGCAAGTTGTTGTCTGAGGGACATCACGGAAGTTCTGTGCTTCTCCACCTCGGCCACCACAGCTCGATGTTTCCGGAGAAGAGCTTGGGTAGAGTAGTCATCGTGACCAAAGTCATCGCTGGAGACGACTCTGTACATGTCTTGGAGCCAAGTGACCAAGTCATCGGTCTCGGCACTCAACTGGAAGAAGTTCAAAGCTTCTTCTAACCTTTGCTGGTGGAAACCCATGAGCTCCTCAAGCTTCTTCCACCTTAGACAAACTTCTCTCAGCTTCTCCTGGATTCCAACGGAGCTAAAGATCTTCTTGGCTAAGATCTTCTCGCCTTTCTTCATGGTTTGGTGGAGAAGAACTCGACGGTTGCCCAATTCGCCCAACATGGTCTTGTGTTTGGTGGTTAAGGTGGTGACGCTACTGAGGTCACGACCACAAGTCTTGGAGGCCAAGATCTTCTCCTTCTCCCTGATCCAAGCTTCTGCTTCTTCCATCTCCTGGAAGAAGGTCCAGAGCTGACGAGAATCTTCCAGTTCCTTCCTTCTCTTGGCTGCAAGGTCCTCCAGTTCCTCCAGGCAGGTCTGCACGTGGTTGACTCGGTTGCAGATGATCTGAGGGTCACAGGGTTGGTAACCTGGAGAAACACAAGCAGCTCTTGGGTCATCAAGAGCTTGGGTTGACATCCAAGGTCCACCAAGACCCTTCCACGGTCTATCAAGACCTTAGGTTGACCCTCCCATGGTCCACGAAGACCTTGAGTTGACCCTCGAGGTCAACAAGGAGCCCAATGAGGTCCTACCACCCCTGAGGAGGTCCCACCTTACCCTCCAGCTCAGAGAACTTCAGAGCAGCTTCATTGAGGGCTTGGACCCTCTCGGTCTGGGCAGAGATATCAGCCTCGAGCAGCCCATGCTTCTGCAGAAGGTCCTCAACCTCCAGGAGATGCTTCCCCATGTCCTTGGAGACCAGGAGGACCTAGAGGAGAATCCACCCATGGGTGAAACCACCCAGAACCTCCATGAGAAGCTTCTCCAAGGCATCGGAGACCTCAAGAACCTCAAGGAGAACCAACCTAGAGCCTCCACCACCACCATCACCTCCCCATCTCTACCTGCATCTCCTCCATCCAGTCAATCATGTAGACCATCTCTTGGAAGATCTTCTGAAGGGCCAAGTTCTGTTCCAGCCTCGAGCGCCGAGCAAAGACCAAGTCGGTCAAGAGTCTCCATTGACGAAGGATATTGTCCTTCTGGGCACTGATCCTCTTGGTGTCATAGTAACCTTCTGACTCCATCTCCATGGCCAAGTCCACCACCACTTGGATCCTGTCCTGGTAGGAGGAGATGTCAGCCTCGATGGCCTCGTGTTTCTTCATGTGCCTCGTGTTTCTTCATGGCAGCTCCCCCCGCCGGCAGGTCGTAGCCGAAGTTGTCCTAGGGCGGGAGGAGAAGACATGGCCGAAGGTTTGAGGAAGAGAGGGTTCAGGTGGCTCGAGGAGACGGTTTAGTGGCCGAGGAGGTTTGAAAAGTAAAGGTCTTTGAAGAGCTTGGTGAGGTCCTACCACCCCTGAGGAGGTCCCACCACCCCTTGAGGACCTCCCCCCACTCAACCATCACGTCCCTCACCCGCCCCAAGGCCTCACAGTTGCATCTCCTGCACAAGGTGTGAAGTTCTCCAGGACCTTCCGGTCCCACCTCAGCCAACCGACCAACCTGCGAGACCAAGCGTTGGTTCTCGTTGAGCCAAGTCTCCCTCATGGTGACCTTGTGGTCAAAGCGTTGGGCCAAGAGCTCCAGCTTCTCCTGCCGGATCAGCTCGTTCCGAAGCGCCACCTCGCGCTCGTGCTCGGCCTTCTCCAGCCGCGTCCATGCCTGGAGGAGGACACGGGCGAGGTCCTGAGGAGGCCCTGCCTCCGGGAGGCCCTTCCACCACCCCTGAGGAGGTCAACCAGAAGCTCAGCGAGCTCCCACCACCCTTGATG